AAATGAAATCTGATCTGTGATGCTACTGTCGTTCGGCACGCTGCATTGAGCAGCCGCGTTCAGTTTTTAATTGTAGTGTCTGTTCTTTTACTGAACTAAATGATTTTTATTACTATAAAAAATCAAAACGACGGTGGGGGTCGGTGCCGCGGTGGGCAAGTGACATAACCGGTGTTGCGGCTTAACAACGGTATCACCGTCAGCACCGTCTATCGCGGCAAGCCTATTGTATGGCTTCAGACAGTTTTTGCATTTTGGAGCTCTACAGCCTTCACTTTCATTATATGGAAAAGAGCAGCAAGATCATTCTGCAAAATAACTCCGTTTGTGTTCCACTGAAGAAAAACGGAAATAATGCGAAATGATATAAGAGAGAGTAAACAATGACAGAATTTTTATGTAAATACATATAAATATATTTATTTATACAGTGGTACATACAGTAAATAATGCACAAATCTGTACATAAATCCAAATGCATACCACATTATTATTATTATTTTCCTTAGTCTTACTTATTTAAATGTTCCTTCTGTTCTCAATGTCATATGTATGTATGTTTGTACCAGGAGCTCCTAAAAAAACCTCAACAAATTCCTTGTGTGTTTGCACACACTTGGCGAATTCTGATTCTGATTCTGAGTTTTCATTGTTGGGTGAACTATTCCTTTAAGAAAATGCAATGCAAATCTTCCACTGATGTTCAGTCAAAGTAGTATTTACCTGTCTGCGAACAGAGCAGCTTGCGGTGCGGTCTTCAAATTTTGCTAGAAGTTGAGTGGCCATAAACTTGACCTTGTTTTCTTTCAGTTCCCGCCCCTCACTGGACACAGAAGAACTCCGATTGAAGGATTTGGTTGTCTGGAAGAAAAGTAGACCAATCAGAGAGCAGTTCCAGTTTCACATGCTTTTACTAGTATGTTAATATATACTATAATACTGACCTCTTCGAAGTAACTAATTTTCCGTTTTCTCTTGTATATGGCATCATTGTCTTCAACCTTTTTATCATTCTAAGGAACAATAAATTATATTTTACTTTAGAAAGTGATGTCCAAACTTGAACATAATAAGAAAGTCCACAAAACACAAACAGTGCTTGTAATAACTCAAACCCATTGTATCCTACCTTGGGAATGCGTTTACGAGGCTGAAGTAAACTCAATGACTTGTAAACAGGTCTGGGAGAACCCGATGGACATTTTTCATTATTTGCATCACCATCTCGCTTTGAATCTACAATAAACCACATGACAAACATTTGCATGACATTTGAGAATAAACAACTACAACAAACAAGCATTGTAACCAAACACACATCACTTTACAACATAAAAGCCTCATATTGCAGCTTGATTGTCCAAGAAGAAGCCATCTGAATGCATGTCTGTCATTTCGTTGACATCAGACCTGCTTCTGCTGTATTCACTTCTCTGAGGCCAGATAATATATAATGTAGAACATGTATGGCATCCTCCTCTGTGGTAACGTACAGATCTGTAGGGCGGTAACCTGGTTTCAGACAGACATGCATTCCTGGCATGACTGCGTGACTGAAGGAATTGTGTAACACAAATGTTTGAGTGCAAAAGGCCAGATAGAATGCTTCTCTTTAGGGGTTTTCCATAAATGCATTGTGTGTTTCCTTAATGTACACACCTTATGCAAACTCTAACTAGGTGGAAGACACACTCAAAGCAGATAATAGGTTTTGGACAGTGTAAAATCTCTGAACACCTTTAGTGGGCTAACAGAATGTCATGTATATTTTGAGGAGTGAAGGCCTCTTGAGCTGAAAATATATTTTGGTAGCACTTTATTTTACATTCCTGTTCCGCATGTACAGTATATACTATGTACTTATTATAGCAATTACAGTAACTGACTGGTAATAAGTAGGTACTAACCCTGAACCTACCTCTAAACTGAACCTTAACCCATGTAGGCACATTATACTACCCAGTACTTTCATGGGTAAGTTCTCTATAAGTACATGACTGTAAAATAAAGTGTAACCGGTATTTTGATGACAATAAAGTCTGTGTATTTTGAGACTATGACTATGTTTGAAGTGGAATACAAACATACTGCATACTACGCAGTATACACGGCATACTGCCAACTCTTACAGGGTGTGAAACAATGCAACATGCAATGAGAAATGTTCAATTACTAGTATTCTAAATTATTGTCATTAATGCTGCATATTTAATTTAGCATGTATATATATATTTGTATTATATTTATACTTTTCAAAACAATGTAGTCAAGGAGGCTGTTGAAATATGTGACTGATATTACACAAAGTTCAAATGAACCGAACAACTGAAATTAAATTAACTGAATATAGAATACTGAACTGATCATGTACTCTTTTGTTCAAAGTCTGGGTTCAGTAAGATTTTTTGTTGTTGTTTTTATTTTTACTTTGTTCAGTAAGGATCCATTAAATTGATTAAAAGTGACACTAAAGATTTTATAATGTTACAAACTATTTCTATTTCAAATAATTGCTGTTCTTTTGAACTTTCTACTCATCAAAATGCAAGGAGAAATGTTCAAATACTAGTATGCTAGATATTTTATTTATGCATATTTAATTCAGCACGTGACATCCATCTTGGAAATAAAATGATTTTTTTTTTCTAGAATCAATGTTTTTTTGTTTTCCAATATTACTATATTTTTTCCAATCAAGGGTCAAAGAGACTACATCCGGTTCAAGTGAAATAAATAATTTAATTAAATTGATATTTTTGTATATATTTACACTAATGTCCAAAACTTGGGGTCTGTAAGATTTTTTTAATACTTTCATTCAGCAAGGATGCATTAAATTGATGCATTAAATTCAAATGTGACAGTAAAGTCATTTATAATGTTACAAGGATTTCTATTTCAAATAAGTGCTGTTCTTTTAAACTTTCTATTCATAAAAGTGTCCAGACAAAAATATATCAACAATTATTACATTATAATAATTGTTCACAATGCTGCAGTTTTTACTGTATTTGTGTGGAAAAAATGCAGCCTTGGTGAGCATAAGAGACTTTAAAAACATTAGAAAAATCTTACTTACCTACTTTTGAACAGTAGTGTACTTGATTCTGCATAAATGGTAAACGTAGTATGCTAGTTTGCAATTCCAAACATAGCCAGTGATCCTAATAGGGTTGTAATGAAAGAGTTCATGATCTACCTGAGGGAGGTAGAGGCGTTCCCCGGAAGAGCTCGTAGAACTTGGAGAGGTAGTTGCTCATGCTGGTCTTGTCCGGCTCCTGACCTGCCGCCAGCTCTTTCCCTGTGATTAAAGGCTTGATGCCAAACTCCTTCTCAGCCACATCAAATGCCAACTGAAGGTTTTTGGCACGGTCTTGCTCATTCAGAGAGTCATAATCGCTACAGGAAATAAGGTGATTAGAACGGAGAGCATGGGACCTGAATTAAACAAGCTGGCCTCTTGACATTTATGCAAAGAAAGGACAATGTGAAGTTGTGAAACTTCTCTGCTTTCTTTAAGCTACTTTTGACAATCTCAAATGACAGACTTGAAAAATGGCCCTTGATAAAGTGTGTGAAATGTTGCACATGGTTATATGTTGTTCAAACTCTTTCACAGCCAAGAACGCTGAAGTTTAAATGTCACTCTGTTTAGATGAATAAGTATCGTCTGGCAGGATATCTGTTTTCAAAAGGGAAAATGTTGTAACCTGGGAAAGCGATTTCTCAAGGGGTCAAAGTGCTTTTCACATGTCCTGCTCATGTTTAGGATTACACAGTAACTAACTGTGCAAAGGCAAAAGCTGATAAACATACATTAGAGTTGACTGCAATGGTTGCCAAAACAGAACGTGATTTGTGGGCATGACAGGAAGCAGACCAAATATTTATCGAATGTGCTAACGATTTAATTCCATTGCTAATGTTTCACTCATCAGATGAACATGATCAAAGTGTCATGTAAACTACTGTTTTATAAGGACTGCCTGATTCATCCTTTATAAGACAATATTAGCATGTATTTCAAGTTTCATTTTTGGTCATGACCGCATGACATTTATTTTTTTTGTTTTGATATTGTTAAATGGTTATATTAGGTTTTTTAAGACTCCATAACAGGTTAGTGTCATTTTATTTATTTTTAATTTTTTTGATATATGATATGATATATGATATGATATGTAGCTATTGCTCATTGTGAATGTTAATGCATTAACTAAGGTTAACTAATGAGGTCTTATTGTAAAGTGATACCTATTGGTCTTTATAGTTCTTTTGCACTTTAATCTGTGTAAAACTTTTAACTTTATACATTTTTCTGTATTGCTTTATTGCATTTAAATGTTCAGTTATTTTTGTTATAAGAAACATTTTATTAAACCTGTATTATGACAGCACTTTTTAAAAAAACTAAATTTCAATATCGTGATAATACCGCATACCGTGATAAAAGCATTAGCAATTAATCGCAACATGAAAATTTGATACCGGCATATCCCTAGTTGTAAAGAATCTCACATGAGCTGTGGTCTGAAGCGATGTATGAGAGCACAGAAAGCCAGGCCACTGATCCAACAGGAAGTGAGGTCAGTCACATCCACACCCATGTAGCCCTCTGTCTGCTTCTGACACCACATCAGTAACCGACTCGGCCTGATCTCAGACTCTGTTAAACACACATACAACCAGAGAAAAATGTTATTTTGAAACTGATCAACCCCCCCCAAAAAAACCCTGAGAAGCAGAGACTTTAGCTATATGAAAATATATACAAGGATTGATCTGGACTGAAAGTCAAGGTGACGTCTTCTCTGTGTCAGGTGTCTGAACTTGCCTCATCGATCTCACAGCAGCATAATCCTCCTCTTACGCAACACACGGTTTATTAATGTTTCAGAGTGGCGTGTCACCCTGACAGCTAACTGTTTTTAGGTGCAGTAAACAAGCTCAAAAGAACAGCAATAGCGGAAAGGATTTATTGTGATTGATTTAGGAAACAGCAGCATGACCAGAGCCAAAAGATATGTGGTATTTCTGTTTTTGACTCTTGTTCTATTTCTTTTTAAGAGGCAAATTTCTTTTTAAGAGGCAAATTTAGCCAAGGAAAGAGGAAGTTCTGCAGAAAAGTGCACGCACAGCACATTTCTAACTGATGTACATTACTGGTCAAAAGTTTGGAATAATATAAGATTTTCTTATGCTCAATGCATTTATTTGAACAAAAATGCAGTGAAAACAGTAATATTGCAAAATAATATTATTACAATTTAAAAGAAGTGTTTTCTATTTGAATATATTTTAAAATGTTATTTATTCCTGTGATGGCAAAGCTGAATTTTCAGCATAATTACTCAAGTCTTCAGTGTCACATGATCCTTCAGAAATGATTCTAATATGCTGATTCGGTGCTCATGAAACATTTCTTACTATTATCAAGCATTATCGGTTTTTTAATTTATTTATTTTTTAATTTTGAAATCGAAGAATCCTAAAAAAAATGTATCATGAGCAGTGTTGGGGAAAGTTACTTTTAAAAGTAATGTATTACCATATTGAGTTACTCCATAAAAAAGTAAGTAATTGTGTAACTTAGTTACTCTTTATGGAAAGTAATGCGTTACGTTACTTTTGCATTACTTTTTGTCACCTGGGCAAGGCTTGCTTAATTGTTTATAATAACAAAAAACCCAAAGGTTATATTTCTGGCAACTGTAAAGACCATTTCACACCAAAAGTGAAATGAATAAGCCTGATGGAAGTGCCTCTGCACCTCACTCCCAATTTCTTTCAACACGGGGACAGGAAAGATGTCAATAAATAAATGTGAAAACAAAGTAACTGGCGTTACTTATTTGAAAAAGTAACTCAGATATTTTGTTGTAAATTTAAAACGAATTAATTTCTTTACTAGGTACTTGAAAAAGTAATCTGATTGCATAACTCATGTTACTTGTAATGCGTTACCCCCAACACTGATCATGAGTTCCTCAAAAATATAGTAGCAATAATAATTCAGCACCAAAATTAGCATATCAGAATGATTTCTGAAGGATCCTGTGATACTGAAGATATTTTAAAGACATTTTATTTTTTTAAACCAAAAACAGTCATTTTAAGTTGTTTCACAATATCACTGTTTTTAATGTATTGTCAGTCAAATAAATGCAGACTTTTGAGCATACGAGACCTTTTTCAAAAACAATTTAAAAATTCCAAACTTTTGACCAGTAGTGTATATTCTGGTATCTAATTAATATAAAGTTTAAAGGGCAAAGACACTATATTAAAAGGATAGCTCACCTAAAAATAAAAATCAGTCATTGTTTACTCACTCTCATGTCCTTTTTTTCTTCTGTGGAAAACAAATAAAGATATTTTGGAAAATGTTCATGCTGCTGTTTTCCATAAACAAAAGCAGACAGTGGCAAGGACCTCAGAAGACTTTATATATAGCGTACAATTCATAAAAGTTGGTTTTTATAGCCCACTGTCGTCATGTTTTATCTTATGGAAATAAGCAGCATGAACATTCTTTAAAGTTTCTTCTTTTAAGTTTCATGAAACTAAAGGTCATACAGGTTTGGAACAACATGAGTAAATAATGAAGTTCCATTTTTTTGGATGAACGATTCCTTCGAGCAGCATGTCTGGACGGTTCCTTACTCCTCACTTAAGGTAGTTCTCTTCTTACTTTGGCTCTGCTGGTAATAACAAATCTCAGTCTGGGTCAAATTCCCTCAGCAGAAAGAAATTCTACCTCTCTCTGAACCTGCCACATCGTGGAAGGACTGCACTCGCTCTGATGTTTTGAGAACGTTCCTAAAACAGGAGCTGCCCCGTTATCTGCAGAAGGTAGGAATGCTGTAAACTTACTTGCCTTTTGTCTATGATTATCATATGCAAATCTCAGTGCTCATATACAGTGGCGGCAACTCTTGAGGAACTGACTGGTCCACTCAATTAAAAGAGCAGAGGATAATTATAGATATGTGTTAGACTGATTCGAAGGTTCTTCTAACCTCTTCTGGCCAAGTTGACAGGGCGGCGTATCGTGGCGGCCCGTTCCAGAGAGCACGACTTCATCTCTCCACAGATATAGTTGTTGCGGACCTACAAAGGAGAAATTTAAAATGTATATTTACGACTCTAAATTCTGATTGGATTAGCCATGTTTTAAAGCCTAGTTGAACAACAACAAAATCACTAGAACACATAGCTTTAAGGAGCTTACTGCTTTTATAAAACAGTGAAAACAAATGAGAAGAAGCACAAAATAGTTGAATTTAATAATAACAGTTTAAATTATCTGTAGGCATTTGTGGTAGCAAATCAGATTTGCCAATCACTGTTTTAATGAATTAATGTGCCAAGTTGCTTGGCAACTCTAAGTCGTCAACAGTTAATAATGTATTTATTTGTTGTGTTTATATACAGAACATCTCTACAGTTTGGAATAATTATTTGGAATTAAAAATAATTTGTTATAAGTTTCTTGGTGATCAGTTATTAATGGTGCTTAATAATTAATAATGGTTCTTAAATGTTGAAGAGTTTTGACTGCTTAATATTTTTCAGCATACTTTGATCAATAGAAAATTCAAAGTACAGCACTGAAATAGAAATCTTTTGTGACATTATAACTGCCACTTTTGATCACTTTAATGCATCCTTGCTGAATAAAAGTATAAAATCGTTTTTTTTTTTTTATCTTACTTCCCTCAGAACATGAATGAAAGGTATTGGTATAGGTTTCCACAAAAATATTAAACGGCAAAAACGGTCAATGCTGAAAATTCAGCAATAAGTTACATTTTAGAATAAAGCAAAACAGGAAAAAACAGTTCTTTTAAACTCTAATAATATTTCACAGTATTACTGTTTTTGCTGTTTTTTGATCAAATAAATGCAGCATTGGTGAGCGTAACAGACTTCTTTCAAAAATTGTAATTATTCCCAACTGTTATGTATTAGTTTATTTATCATGATTGGCATGCGTGTTATAAAACAATAAGTCACTTGAGGTTGTGAATTGCAGTGATTTTACCATGCATTTTTTTTTTTTTATGTAAATAGTAATGCCATCTCACCTGGTGTGGCCTCACACAGTTTGAATTAAGGTTGGGATAGCGTGTTCCTGGATCTATGGTGTAGAAATCTAAGTTTTTGGCGATGTTTTCAGGTGTTGTCTGAGGTAGCAATCGGTACAGACTCTCCCTAGAAAAAAATTTAACAACAAAACACCTACATAAACAGGCTATTAATGGTATAATAAGTACCTGTTAACTTTCAACACATTTAAAATCGGACAAAAAATATTCATTAATATTATGAATATTAATTATGAAACCATTTACATCTATCTTTTTTATAGATGACATCATGTTTCTGTATTCATCTGGAGCGGTGTGTGCATTTATTGTTTGCACATGTGAAATTTGACCTTCACTGACCTCTCTGCCAGCACCTCAAGTGGATTTCTACTCTGCGCCCAACTTTTTACCATCCAAGCCGTGTCAAAGGCTGCCAGGAAACCACGGGCACAGCCGGTCCCCATAGGCCAGAAGGGCTACAGTAAGACAGACAACCACAAACACATGTCATCAGAATCAAACGTAATTATCATAAATATAAATAAACGCAAGAATGATTATTTAAGTGTAACTGCACAGTAACGTAATCTCCTCACCTCTAGAAGACTGTCTCCCACTAGTGCCACCAGCACACCGTGACCAAACCTCTCCCGGACCAGAGCAGCATTTTCTGAGGCGTACATGCTCGTGAAATCAAACATGGCCACATCAGGCTGACCGCAGTGGTTCATGGCGTAGTCCAGCGTGGGCAGCTAAATTAGCATATCAGAATGATTTCTGAAGGATCCTGTGATACTGAAGATATTTTAAAGACATTTTATTTTTTTAAACCAAAAACAGTCATTTTAAGTTGTTTCACAATATCACTGTTTTTAATGTATTGTCAGTCAAATAAATGCAGACTTTTGAGCATACGAGACCTTTTTCAAAAACAATTTAAAAATTCCAAACTTTTGACCAGTAGTGTATATTCTGGTATCTAATTAATATAAAGTTTAAAGGGCAAAGACACTATATTAAAAGGATAGCTCACCTAAAAATAAAAATCTGTCATTGTTTACTCACTCTCATGTCCTTTTTTTCTTCTGTGGAAAACAAATAAAGATATTTTGGAAAATGTTCATGCTGCTGTTTTCCATAAACAAAAGCAGACAGTGGCAAGGACCTCAGAAGACTTTATATATAGCGTACAATTCATAAAAGTTGGTTTTTATAGCCCACTGTCGTCATGTTTTATCTTATGGAAATAAGCAGCATGAACATTCTTTAAAGTTTCTTCTTTTAAGTTTCATGAAACTAAAGGTCATACAGGTTTGGAACAACATGAGTAAATAATGAAGTTCCATTTTTTTGGATGAACGATTCCTTCGAGCAGCATGTCTGGACGGTTCCTTACTCCTCACTTAAGGTAGTTCTCTTCTTACTTTGGCTCTGCTGGTAATAACAAATCTCAGTCTGGGTCAAATTCCCTCAGCAGAAAGAAATTCTACCTCTCTCTGAACCTGCCACATCGTGGAAGGACTGCACTCGCTCTGATGTTTTGAGAACGTTCCTAAAACAGGAGCTGCCCCGTTATTTGCAGAAGGTAGGAATGCTGTAAACTTACTTGCCTTTTGTCTCAGCGCTCATATACAGTGGCGGCAACTCTTGAGGAACTGACTGGTCCACTCAATTAAAAGAGCAGAGGATAATTATAGATATGTGTTAGACTGATTCGAAGGTTCTTCTAACCTCTTCTGGCCAAGTTGACAGGGCGGCGTATCGTGGCGGCCCGTTCCAGAGAGCACGACTTCATCTCTCCACAGATATAGTTGTTGCGGACCTACAAAGGAGAAATTTAAAATGTATATTTACGACTCTAAATTCTGATTGGATTAGCCATGTTTTAAAGCCTAGTTGAACAACAACAAAATCACTAGAACACATAGCTTTAAGGAGCTTACTGCTTTTATAAAACAGTGAAAACAAAGGAAAAGAAGCACAAAATAGTTGAATTTAATAATAACAGTTTAAATTATCTGTAGGCATTTGTGGTAGCAAATCAGATTTGCCAATCACTGTTTTAATGAATTAATGTGCCAAGTTGCTTGGCAACTCTAAGTCGTCAACAGTTAATAATGTATTTATTTGTTGTGTTTATATACAGAACATCTCTACAGTTTGGAATAATTATTTGGAATTAAAAATAATTTGTTATAAGTTTCTTGGTGATCAGTTATTAATGGTGCTTAATAATTAATAATGGTTCTTAAATGTTGAAGAGTTTTGACTGCTTAATATTTTTCAGCATACTAGAAAATTCAAAAAATTCAAAGTACAGCACTGAAATAGAAATCTTTTGTGACATTATAACTGCCACTTTTGATGCATCCTTGGCATCCTTGCTGAATAAAAGTATAAAATCGTTTTTTTTTTTTTATCTTACTTCCCTCAGAACATGAATGAAAGGTATTGGTATAGGTTTCCACAAAAATATTAAACGGCAAAAACGGTCAATGCTGAAAATTCAGCAATAAGTTACATTTTAGAATAAAGCAAAACAGGAAAAAACAGTTCTTTTAAACTCTAATAATATTTCACAGTATTACTGTTTTTGCTGTTTTTTGATCAAATAAATGCAGCATTGGTGAGCGTAACAGACTTCTTTCAAAAATTGTAATTATTCCCAACTGTTATGTATTAGTTTATTTATCATGATTGGCATGCGTGTTATAAAACAATAAGTCACTTGAGGTTGTGAATTGCAGTGATTTTACCATGCATTTTTTTTTTTTTATGTAAATAGTAATGCCATCTCACCTGGTGTGGCCTCACACAGTTTGAATTAAGGTTGGGATAGCGTGTTCCTGGATCTATGGTGTAGAAATCTAAGTTTTTGGCGATGTTTTCAGGTGTTGTCTGAGGTAGCAATCGGTACAGACTCTCCCTAGAAAAAAAATTAACAACAAAACACCTACATAAACAGGCTATTAATGGTATAATAAGTACCTGTTAACTTTCAACACATTTAAAATCAGACAAAAAATATTCATTAATATTATGAATATTAATTATGAAACCATTTACATCTATCTTTTTTATAGATGACATCATGTTTCTGTATTCATCTGGAGCGGTGTGTGCATTTATTGTTTGCACATGTGAAATTTGACCTTCACTGACCTCTCTGCCAGCACCTCAAGTGGATTTCTACTCTGCGCCCAACTTTTTACCATCCAAGCCGTGTCAAAGGCTGCCAGGAAACCACGGGCACAGCCGGTCCCCATAGGCCAGAAGGGCTACAGTAAGACAGACAACCACAAACACATGTCATCAGAATCAAACGTAATTATCATAAATATAAATAAACGCAAGAATGATTATTTAAGTGTAACTGCACAGTAACGTAATCTCCTCACCTCTAGAAGACTGTCTCCCACTAGTGCCACCAGCACACCGTGACCAAACCTCTCCCGGACCAGAGCAGCATTTTCTGAGGCGTACATGCTCGTGAAATCAAACATGGCCACATCAGGCTGACCGCAGTGGTTCATGGCGTAGTCCAGCGTGGGCAGCTGGTAGTGGGTGGCGTAGTCGGCTGCCTCTCGTGCATATGCCAGCAAAGCCTCTTGGTTCACATTCTCACTGTTCAGCAGTGCCTCAGTGTCGATATAATCCTAGTCAATACAAAACATTTGGTTACCACACCAAACATACAGTATGTCTACTGACTGAAAGTGAGCCGATTCTTTAACTAAGACTGCAAGCAAGTCAAAACTAATGTCTACTGATTAGACATTAGTTTGATAGCTGGTTCTTTGGTCAACGTGAAACGGGATTCACGATGCATTTTACTTCTGAAATATAAATTAAACAAATACTATGAAAAAAACACAAGGTTGGACTTTTATGCACTGTGCACTGAATGATTGAATTGTAAAAAGTTATTATTCAATACAAGAATGGAGACAGATCATAAAGACTTTACAGTCCAAAATCTGAAACAATTTTCAAAAATATATATACATTTTATTTTTTTTTATCAGTGAAATGATGGTCAGTTTTTGCATGGTTCTATTTTCAAAATAGATGGGAAAATATGCAAGACTTAAGCCTTATTAAAAGGATATTATTTATAAATGTATTATTATTATTTAGAAAAATTAAGCAGTGAAGCAATTTTGTTAAAAATGTTATAAATGTTTCAAATAAAATTAAAGTCATGTAGTGTGACCAACATGAAGAGACATGTAGGAAACGAAAATACACACATAAGTGTGTGTCAATGTCAGTGAGTAGGTTTTAAAATGACTAATTCATGTTCAAGCTGTCCAATGTCCAAATTTGAAGAATTTAATTGTAAAATCATGGTACTGTCACCAAAAGTGATTATAAGTGATACATTTAAATTATTAAATTTTTTAATATTGAAAATATTAAGAAATGTACACCCACATGTTTACAAGCTCTAAGTAAAGTATGTTATTGCTTGATGAGTACACCACATTTAAGAGTCACATTTAAGTATTCAAAATCAACATGAATATGTACATTTAAGCTACATAGTTTAAAAAATATATATAAAAAAATATTTTTAAAATATATATTTTTCAATTTCTTTATCTTGGACACCGCTATTTACAATTCACCCTTAAACATAAACCTCACTAAATGCTAAAAAATAACACAAAAAAAAAATAAGTCTGAAACTAAACTCTGTAAATAAGTCTTAATCTCTTATGCAACTTTGTTCCTCAAGAAAATGTATCTTGTTCTACGGATCCTTAATTATTTTTACTGAAAAAAAAAACAAAACATCTGTATTTGATATGTACATGGATCAAAGACAAAAAAGGGTTTATCCATAAAAACAATAAGTGTAATACTGCTTTAAATTGCTGTTGTTTTCCCCCTCAAAAATGTAAAAAATTTCTGTTTAATTTAATTGCAATTTTGTTTTTTTGAGCAAAAAATAAATATCATACATTTTTCCCTGATTTACAGAAAAGACCCACTAAAATGTCATTCAGTGTAACAATCTTGTCAGGCATATTTACAACAAAAAT